CTGAACCCTAAACCCTAAAACCTAAAGCCTACCCTCCCCCCCCCCCCAAACAAAAAAACAAAAGGCAAAACAAAAGCATCAAGGGGCCAAAAGAAATATGTGCACCCGTCTTGGGGATGCAGGGATGTAGGGTAGCAGGAGAGCTTAGGAGGCCACCAGACTTTGAACGCGAATTCCTAAAGAGCCCTAAACCCGAAACCCTAAACCCTAAACCCTGAACCCTGAACCCCAAACTCTAAACCCTAAACCCGAAACCCTAAACCCTAAACCCTATACCCCAAACCCTAAACCCTAAACCCTTCGCCAGGGTTCAAGGCTCAGAGGTTCGAGGTCTTCCCAAGCCCTCAACCCTAAACCTTAAGCCCTAAACCCTACATTTGAAAAGAGCAACCCCTCGGATTTGGAGGTCTTCCTAACCCTAAACCCTAAACCCTAAACCCCAAACCCTAAACCCTAAAGCCTAAACCCTAAAAACAAAACAAGGGCAACCCTCGGAAGGCTCATCGTGGCCAGGCAAAGAGTCTCCTTTGCATCTGCCATCATTTGTTCTACTTGTGGCGATGTTGTCGGCCTGCACCAACTCCGCATGCTTAAGGAACTGTGGTGTTTAGAATTTGGGTTTAGGGTTTAGGGTTTAGGGCTTAGGGTTTAAGGTTTAGGGTTTAGGGCTTAGGGCTTAGGGTTTAGGGTTTAGGGTTTAGGGTTTAGGGTTTAGGGTTTAGGGTTTAGGGTTTAGGGCGGGGTTGTACGAGCCTTGCGCTGACCGCCTCAAGGCGACAAGCCCCGAGTTGAGGCAAGAGGTTTGTGGTAATGTGATCTAGACCCCAGCACTTGTTAGCTTTGTCATAGTGGGTAACATTTTACGTTTTTTAAGGGTGCTTAAACTCAATAAGGAGTAGAAATATATTTTTTAATGCTATTCCAACCATGATTTAGTTCGGTTTAAACCCTGGTCCCTAAGACCTAACCCTACACCCTAAGGAGTTTTGGGTGTGGACTGTCTAAGAAAACCTATCCTAGGCAGGGTAAGGGGGCCCTCAACAGGGAACACTGTTTAACCCCCTTCAGGATCTCTTAAACAGGGACCTTATGCAGAGGATCTATATCCCCAAGGGTCCCCCTAATCCTATCCCCTAACCAAAAGGGAGACTATGTCCAAGCACAGGTCTCCCACCGTGATTCCCAGGGGCCTCAAAAATTTTGGCCTCAAGCATTTTTTTGAGGTCAGAGAAGCCTAAACGATGAACTCTGAACCCGAACCCTAAACCCTAAACCCTAAACCCTAAACCCTAAACCCTAAACCCTAAACCTAAACCTAAACGCCAGGCCTCAAGGCTCCGAGGGTTAAGGTCTCCAAGCTGAAGTCGGACTATGTCCTTGGAAGCTTGGGGGGGGGGAGGGGGGGGGTTATCTAGGATTTGGGGTTTAGGGTTTAGGGTTTGGGGTTGAGGATTAGGGTTTAGGGTTTAGGGGGGGTCTAGGTTTCCTGTTCCAAACGTACTACTAACTCTTAGGAGTTAGAAACCCTACATCCCCCCTGTTATCAACATAAGCAACCTTTATGGGCTTCTATAACTGGTTCTCTTCTAAGCGGCAGTAGGATATCCTGAAGCCTCAGCCTCAGTTGTTTCTGCTTACTTGAGAAGGCGGTTAGAAGTAGGGATTTACAGTCAAGGGTTTAGCGGCAGCTCTCTGAACCGTGAACAGGGTTGTGGCCAGTCCCCGAACCCTAAACCTTAAACCCTAAAGCCTAAACCCTAAACCCTAATCCCTAAACCCTAATCCCTAAACCCTAAACCCTAAACCCTAAACTACCTAAAGTCGAGTGGTTGACCAAGCATGCGGCAGTTGTACCTGGAATCTTGGAAGGGGGCGAGCAAATCGGCAACGGAGCATGATGTGCCCCCACGGCTCGTCAAGGAACTGAATTTAAGTTGCAGTAATCAGGCATTACATATATATATATATATATATATGTATGTATATATATATATGTAACATATACATATATATATATATGTATTTGTATGTATGTATGCATGTATGCATGTATGTACGTACGTACGTGTGTATGCATGTATGTATGTGTATGTATATATATATATATATGTATATATATATATATGTATTGGCGAGCATCAGAGCATCTGCACGGGTTTCGGTTACGCGCCCTTGTTTCGGGTTATACCTGTACTAAGAACTAACTTGTAACTTCAGAGGTACACACTTGTAACTTCCCATGCACGGTCGAGTAGGGTGTAGACTTCCGAATTTTGCGGGTTTGGTCACCAATCTGGGCCCCTAGGCGCTGAGTTGCTTTAGGTTCAGGGCCTTAGAGTCTAGGGCTTCGGGTTTCGGAATACGAAAACCCTTACTGCCCTTACTTTAGGAATCCGACAGGTGCCCATATCTTGGCAAATTCTCAGAGCCGCACCCTAAACTTGCCCTAAACCCTAAACCCGGAACCCTAAACCCTAAACCCTAAACCCTAAACCCTAAACCCTAAACCCTAAACCCTAAACCCTAAACCCTAAACCCTAAACCCTAAACCCTAAACCCTATGATCATGAGCCGTGGGACAGCGTCTTCGCTTCACAATCGTTCTTCTATGTCCGTGCAGGTCATTGCTTCCAGCTCACCGGCAGTACCGGTGCTTAAAGGGGGTGGGGGAGTGAGGTTTAGGGTTTAGGGTTTAGGGTCTAGGGTTTAGGGTTTAGGCTTTAGGGTTTAGGGTTACTGGGTTTTGGCGGGAAATATTTCAGGATGTAGGAGAAAGCCCTACACTACCCCCAGTAGGCACCGGTCACGTCCTGGAAAGCATGTCGGCATCGCTGCGCGCCCTACTTGGTGAGCCGCAGTCTGGTGACAGACAGCTTCGGTTTAGGGTTTAGGGTTTAGGGTTTAGGGTTTAGGGTCTAGGGTCTAGGGTTTAGGGTTTAGGGTTTTAGGGTTTAGGGTTTAGGGTTTAGGGTTTAGGGTACAGTTCTTTGTGATACTTTACTGTAACTTTAGATCCTTACCTTTTTTGGGTTTGCTGGGTTTTTTATTAAGGCAGCTAAAAGTTTGACTTATGGCTACCCTCCTGAGTGCAGCCAAGGGCTTACTGTAGGCCCTAGACTGGCACTAGACCCTCAGCCCGATTTTGCTTTGAGTTTTCAGGGTGGTTAAGGGTTCAGGGTTCAGGGTTCAGGGTTTAGGGTTTAGGGTGCAGGGTTTAGGGCTTCAAGAATCCTAAGCCCCAATCCGCTTAAAGCCCAGTTGGGTTTGGGTTGTCTCGATGACGGGGTGCAGGTGCTAGAAGCACCCAGGCAGGCGCCATAAACCCTAAACCCCAACTTCCAGACATCACTTAGGTCTCCAGAACGGCCTTCACAGCAGACCTTACGAACTCAAAACCTACGATTTGGTAGGTTTAGGGTTTAGGGTTTAGGGTTGAGGGTGTCCTTAGGTAACCGGCAAAAACAGACTTGCGGTTCTTTTCTTAGAACATAACAGCGAGCAGCGAACACTTCGGGCGCAGGTCCGTTGGATTCAGCTAAACCTAAACCCTAAACCCTAAACCCTAAACCCTAAACCCTAAACCCTAAACCCTAAACCCTAAACCCTAAACCCGAGCCCCTTTGCCATCTTGTAAGGTTTACAGGGTTCACAGGGTTTATGAGGTTTATAGGGGATATAGGGCTTATAGGGTTTAGAGTCTAGAGGGTTTATGGGGTACATAGATTCCCCAGCTCACGCCTTACCACGATTTGCATTCCTGATAGACCAAAACCCTCAACTCTAAGCCCTGGAGGGTTTAGGGTTGATTTAGACTTAGGGGTGGAGCCCCTAAACCCTAAACCCTAAACCCTAAACCCTAAACCCGAAACCCTAAACCCTAAACCCTAAACCCTAAACCAAGGGTCCCTCGAATTGAGCAGAAGTGAGCCGAGCCTCACGACGAGCTTCCCTTCGTAGCAGCCCCAACCCAGCCGGAAGTTTGGGTTTTCCAGCTTAGGGTTTAGGGTTTAGGGTTTAGGGTTTAGGGTTTAGGGTTTAGGGTTTAGGGTTTAGGGTTTAGGGTTTAGGGTTTAGGGTTTAGGGCTAGGACTTTGAGTCGGTCTCCGTAGTTCGCCTTCTGGTCCCAATAGGCTGCTCTGCAATTTTGGATCACTTCAGAGGGTCTATTTGTGACAGTAAAAGTCGGGTGATTCGTGACATGGGCACATGCATAACTCAACCAAGATTAGCGCTGAGGCGCCCATTTGCTCTAGGTGAGATCGAAATCCGAGCGCCTGTCTGTCGCGTACTACGTGGTAGCAGCGATCCAGACTGGCAGGTCCTCCTTATAGTTTCTTCTGCCAGCAGGTATGGTCTCGTTGCTACCTTCCGATCGTCTGGTCGGGAGTCGCCGGGTTTGAGGGTTTGGGTTGAGTGCTTTGCCTTGCCTGTTGGGGTTTTAGGGTTTAGGGTTTAGGGCTTAGGGCTTAAGGTGATTTAGGGTTTAGAGGTTGGAGGGTTTAGGCTGCCATGGTCCCCGCTGACGGGTAGCAGATCAACTAGACCCGAAGCCCGACCCCCTGAATCCAATCCCTCCTCGTGTTCCCTCTCGTCCGAGAGTGTTCAGGGCCATCCTAGTTGGTAATTTGATACTACAATTTGCTTAAGAACCCTAACACAAAAAATGATAATCTCTATATTACCCTTATAAGGAAGAACATATATATATATATATATATCTGTGGTACCCCCCCCCCAAGAACCAAGAATCAAGAGTCCTGAGCATCTTGGTCTGCATTTAACTTAAATTTTAAATGCAGCTTTAAATGCAACCAAGTCTCGGTTTTTGGTTCTTGGCATTGGGCTGTTAAATTTTCCAATGCAGTTTTGCATGCAGGAAAACCCTAAACCCAACATCAGCGGCACCATGAGCCTTGACGCTGCCGGAACTGGCGAGCCCCAACTCAAGGGCTTGGACCTAGCTTGGGACGCCGCCTTCGCCTGACTTCATCATTGACGGTATGCAGAACAATGCCTTCAACGTCCACGCATCACGCGCCAACATGACTGCTCGCCAAGTCTATGTTGTGATCTACAACATCCAGATGCGATTGGGGCTTAGCAAGGGTCATGACGGTGGATGGTCCGGAAAAGCAAGCCAGATGATCCTGGAGACTCTTGGAAAGGCTAAGAAAAGCAGGACTACATCGCAGGCAACATGCTCCACGCCATTGGCGCTTGAAAACTCTGCGAGTGATCCCTTGGCCATCCAACACCGTGTCCTTGAGGAGGGTACAGCGGCCACGTGGCAGATCACACTACAGACCCGCCAGATGGTGAAAGTGACAGCAGTAGCTCGGACGACGACAGCCACAGCAACCACTCATCCAGTTCGTACACTGCATCCACACCATCGCCCGTGGACTCTATGGGTTGGGAGTCTGACTGGCATGACACCTATGCAACCGGTCTGACCAGACCTCCAGGACGACACGCGAAAAAAACGCATCATGAACAATGTCTTGAAGACGATCAAGAAGGCCAAGAGCAAGTATGAGGGAGTGTAAGTGTTTCACCGATGCAGTCTACCAGGCTTTCTCCCAGTGTAAAAATGTCGGAATCATGCACTGTATGCCAATATGTTATGCTACAACCAGGCTAGACGATCTTTGTCATGCCTTCATTTTCTATTCTCGTAGCTGCATTGACAATAGCGGTCCTGCAATGCACGCCAAGCCGCAAGAGAAAAACAATCGAGATATCCTGCTTCGCCGCGATTGCAGTTCAAGTCAGTGTGTCATTGCACCCATGTCGTCAGTGACGGTCTTACTCGCTTTGTTATATGGAACACTACCATCATCCTGACCATAAACCGCAGACTACGTACCATTACATGCACACTCAGCATATTCGCCAGCGACAACACCACTACCATCACATTCGCCTCCGTCAGCGACACAGCCACCACTAGCAACAGCAGCACACGGTCAACAACAAGTATTCATCAAAACATGAATGTCCAACACTTCACCCCTGCTGAGCAGCGCCAATACCAATCAAAACTCTGCACGCGATTTCTGCTTAAGGCGATCTCTACGAGGTACTCTTTCTAGTCTTGCCCGCATAGCTAGAATGGCCAACCCGACGTTCGATGCTGTGATGCGGCGTGTGGGTGGCAAGGAGTGGAACTACGACTCGCTATCAGTGCCCCAGTGTGGCCTCGTGGAGGCCGATGGCATCGAGGAACCCATCTGTCTCCAAACCTTCCTTGCTGAGGCTTGTCGTCGCACGGAGGGCACCAAGGTGACCACAATTATATCTTCGATGTCCACACCGGGGTGCCCGAGTTCGGTGGGACCTCGCACATTGGAGAGCAAATTCAAAGAGGCGAGCTTCATGGACTCCCGTTGCCTCTGCAAGTCGCACACACCTTGCCAAATGGTACCAAAATGGGTGCGGTACTTGAAAACCCTCGTGATGGAACCCTCAACATCGTCAAGATCTTGCACTTCTCGGGCAAACTTGCCATCGCCCATTCCCTGAAGCTTCGTTCCGGAAACGCCTACGTGCCTGTGTACCGAGAAGGCCCATGGGCTGCGCGGAAGACAGTGAATATCTCCTGCAATGTCTCCCGGGCTATCGGGTTTCGTGGAACAACGTCTCTGAGAAGGTATCCATTGTTCGGAAAAGCCAGAGTGCGCAGTGGGCTCCAGAAGTTCAGAAGATGACGCCTTGCGGCTTGGCATCGAGTTCATCAATGCTCACTCACCAGAAGGCGACGCTCTAAACGAGCAGACCTTTTGGATTCTCTCCAGCATTCGGGAGGGGTCTGGCACTCCCATAGACGGGTGGCCCGAGGCCAAGGTACGTTTCATGTGCCAAAACAAGTCTCGAGGACTTGGAGGCGCGGGGCCGCGTTTCCACTTCCCCTTACACACCTACAGCCTCAAGGGCTTGCTCGCGGAGTTTCTGCTGCCTCTCGTCTACCCGTTGCTGGTGCTAAACGGTGTCATGAAGATTGGCTGGCCCGGGGTTTGGAAAGACTCCAGCGCTGTTTGCCATGATCCTCGCCACTGGTCGGTATCATCTTGGCAAGCTAGGCTTGGACCAGAAACCCTCATGGAGACGGTCTGAGTCATTGGACAACTTCAGGCGCCGAGTGCCCCAAGTGTACGAGGTCGTCTTTCTCGACGACCCCAGCCGCGACAAACTCGACATGTCGGACCTCAAGTCATACATGACGGCAGAGGAGGACCAGACGTGTTCCGGAAGGTACAATGATGGCAAGCTGGTCTGTGGACAGGTTCGTGCCTACGCCGGCAAAAACTTGTCGGACGATGACGAGCCCTCTCCCGATGGCCGGACAACCATATCCCCTGACGAATTCCTGCAACTTCTGCGACATTCGTTCCCTGGTGAGAAGGCTGCAGATGTCATGGCCGTCCTCAAGAGGTCGATCGTCTTCATTCTCGGCAAACACGCGCCGTACTTGATCCATCTGGATTTGCTGAGCCCTCACGACAAGTCTCCTACGCCGAGTACAAGCAGGGGAACATGACCAGGGGCAACGGCTATTAAGCATTCGTCCGGGAACAAAACATGATCCACAACTCCTTCATGAACATGTCGGAGAAAGGTGCTCGAGCGTACCTGGATCACTGCGACCATGAATTGAAGACGGCTCCGTCCAAGGACACCATCCCCGGGCCGTGTCCGGCATTTGCCAACTGTTGCACCAGAACCAGATCAGACTTCCCCCAAAGCTTGCAGTCCGACCGACGAGATGGACGTAGACGAGGAGGCCTCCTTGTACATGCAGGGCGTGTGTTGAGTAGTTCGGACCTCTGTTCTCACTCGAAGGCGTAAGTTTTGTTTGGTTCAGGCCGGACCATGGGGTAAACCAGTCCACCTTGCAGCTTGGTGCAGGTGACGGAACTGCTTCGCAATCATGCCCAATCTTGCTGCTGGGTGGGTTCAGTGTAGCCGCGAGATGCCATGACTCGCCGGACAAAAAGATTCGCAAGACCATGTTGTTGTGTGCGCCCACTGTGATTTGCATGACTACAGCAGACTCCTTGCATCTCAGTATCTTTGTTTCTCATGCTCGAGCCAGCACATATCGTGTGGAGCAGATTTCCAGCGCTGTCGTTATCATGGTGAAGTGCTTACGAAAGAAGCCTTCATGCAATTTCCCTGCCCATGATTCTGAAACAGAACCTTACAACGAAGCCATCTTCCAAGGTGACTCACGGCTAAGCATGGAAATCCACGCCCTGTACCAGAAGTGGCCAGGCAGTCCTCAGGGTTGATCGGCTGAAGTGGAAGCGAACCTTCCAGGCCTTGACAGCTTTGAAAGAGAGGATGCCATCAAGCTCCTCACACAGGATGGTCTTCTGCCGACTTGGGAAGGGGCTACGTGCCCCTTCTGCTTCAAGGGCATTGTGGCCCTCTACAGGACAGAGATTCAGGACTTCCCCGATATCGGTGCCGACGAAAGAAAGAACTGTCACAAGTTTATCACGCCGCAGTACCTCCATCCTCTGTTTGCTGCCACAAGGGGCCCGGAGATGCATTCTCTTGGTCTCCAGGCCGGTGTCTTGCTTTTGCTACTTGCAGGAGTGGCGGCAAGCGTCATCCTTCTCGTGACCCAGGTCAACCACTAAGTCGTGGAGCGCTTAAAGAGAAGCTTGGATCTCGTCCGCAAGTGCAATCCACCATGAGCTTCGGCGGCAGGAAGAATGCCTGGCAAGATGTTGAGGTGGATGAGGCTGTGTTCGACAAGGCACTCTATCGAACAGGCTGAGTGTCCGGGTAAGATTGTGGAGTGGGAACAATGGGTCGGCCTAGTCCAGCGCGGGAAGCCAACATTGCTGGTTCTTCTACGCCTCTCTCCCAAGCACCTCTTCTGCAAACAATAACACGTAAGCAATGCTGCACGTATGCAATCCTGTTTTAAATCATCCGAGGCCCACCAACAAGAGAGCGCCCGGTCCGGGCCCCATCCGAAAGAACGAGTGGCGCACGATCGTAAACAAGGCTGAAGGACAAGCAGGTGCTTCTTCACAGCGACAGCGCCAGGGCACACACGATCAAAGTTCCAGGCGTTCACCATGGCTCCGTCGTCCATCAGACAAAACGGATAAAGGTTCGTGGTGTTTGGAAGTGGAAAAAGCCAACCTGCATGAAGCTCAAGAAGATTACCCTGCCTGGTGGTCGCAAGATCACTGTCAGGGTTGGTACGCACATCATCGACCGGTGTTGGAGGTTCGTGAAGGAGCGGCTTAGCGTCAACCAGAACGTGAAAACGGGGTATTCAGGCGCAGGTGAGGTCAGCCCAATGGGAATACTGGCGTCGCGGCCAAGACCTCTGGACATCCACGGGCGACCTCCTGACATGGTACATGGCTAAGATCATCGTGTAGCCCTGAGAGCCTTCTGCTCGTCCACAGTTTTGTGTATAGCATCTGTACGCCACGTCTAAGGAAGGTCGATGCTGCTGAAAATGGCTTCTCTGCGTCTTGAGACATTTCCAAGTCAACCACACCGTTCACACGGCATCCTTCTCATGAAAACATGAAATCATGATGACTGCATGGCAAGCACGTATGACCATGAAGGTCTGCTCCAGCCATTCCACTGCAGCTCTGAGCCTACAAAGCATCTGACGAGAATACTTTTTCTATGTATAGCTATATATTATCTTCTTGCTCAGTTAATATCAATCCCCCCTTTAGGATCCACCTTCGGTTGGTTTCTAGCAACTTCATATAGCCATCCTATCTTATGGACTAAAGCAAGGTGGATCGTTGGGAGGGGTAGCATATATATATTTATATATATATATATATATTATGTATATACATATTTTTTCTGGGGGGGGGGGTTCTTAAGCAATTGCTGGGACAGGGTTTAGCTTTCTGTGGCTGAGTGGGTTGGAATCTACGTTTGTTTTCTGCTTCGGGCTTTCGAGCTCCCGGGGCAGTAGGCTTCAGAGGCCTGAAGAGCTTGAGGCTGAGGATCAGGCGCATAGTTGGTGTAGGGCTTCTGTAGTTGTTTAGGGTTTTGAGGTTAGGGCTTGGCCCTTAACCCCAAAACCCTAAACCCTAAACCCTAAGCCCTAAACCTATTGAGACCGGAGAAGAGTTTTCAAAGACAGGAAGGTAGCAGACCGACGTCAGTGATGTGCAAGCTGCAGGCCACCACCGCGGATTTCTAGACCAGAATAGCCCGAAACCTAACCCTAAACACTAAACCCTAAACCCTAAACCCTAAACCCTAAACCCTAAACCCTAAACCCTAAACCCTAAACCCTAAACCCTAAACCCTAAACCTAACCCTAAACCCTAAACCCTAAACCCTAAACCCTAAACCCTAAACCCTAAACCCTAAACCCTAAACCCTAAACCCTAAACCCTAAACCCTAAACCCTAAACCCTTTTCTTTGGGAGAGGCTCCGCTGCCAGCCTCCTTCAAGCAAAATCCAGTTGGAGGTCTTGATTTTTTTGTTTTGGGCGTTGGTTGGCTACTCTGTGATCCAGTCTTGTTGGCCGGTGGTACCCAATTTGCCTTTTGTGGGGTTTAGAGTTTAGGGTTTAGGGTTTAGGGTTTGGGGTTTGGGGATTGGGGTTTGGGGTTTAGGGAGATTAGATGGTCACTGGCCATAGTCGGGGAGAGGATTCGGGGGAATCTTGGGATATAGACCCTCTGACTCAGGTCCCTGTTTTAAAGAGCCAGAAGAGGGTTAAGAAGGGTTCTCTTTTAAGGGCCCCCCTTCTCCTACCTAGGACCGTAGAACCCTGGCGCATCCGCCTCTCGTCGGAAATCCAAGAAACGCTTCCACCCTAAACACTAAACCCTAAACCCTAAGCCCTGAACCGCTTCCCTTGCTAAGCCTCGTGGATGCGGCGAAATTCGTCGGCCGCTGAGTGCTTGTCCGTTTGCTTGACATCAAAAAGTTTGTTCAAGGCAAGGGAGGGCTTGGGTTTAGGGTTTCGGGTTTCGGGTTTCCGGGTTTCGGGCACCTCTTATGGGAATCTTAAGCGACATGCATACATGCGGGTGACGGCGTGCGTACTGGTGCTTGAAAGCGCATTAAAGATGTCCACGTGTTGCACGGCAGCATTGGACGTAGTCACGGTGCCTTACCTTCAGAACCAAACGCCTACTTGGAGGATCGGGGCACTTGTAGTAAGGAAAGATATAAGTACCTCAATCGGGATCAGAAGTAAGTATAAGTTATAAGTGCAGTTACCTCACTTATACCCCCACTTGCTAAGTCCCCTGATTCTTTAAGTACCCACCTTTTCAGCCCATGGACGCACAACCGAAGCTGGCCAAGTCGTGCAGTGGTACTCTTCTTCCCTTTTTCGGGCCACGATGCCTGTAACCCGACAACCCGAGACCCCATTGGGCCAAAGCTCTAAATCCTAAACCCTAAACCTTGAACCCTAAACCCTAGACCCTAGACCCTAAACCTAAACCCCTTTGTTGAACGATTTCTTAAGGGCATCTTATCAACAGTCGAAACGAAACTTCCATTCAGAAAGTTGAAGCAAGATGACAAATACTGAATTCTCGATATCGAAATCCACCGTGCCTGCACACCCTAAACCTAAACCCTAAAGCCTAAACCCTAAACCCTAAACCCTAAACCCCAGACCCTAAACCCTAAACCCTAACCCCTAAACCCTAAACCCTAAACCCTAAACCCTAAACTATACTTAAAGCCCAACAGACACGGACCCAGAGTCGAGCAGGCCCGTATTCCCCCATTTTGGCGGGGGGTGGGTGGGGTTAGGGTTTAGGGTTTAGGGTTTAGGGTTTAGAGTTTAGAGTTTTTTTTTTGGGGGGGGCGGGGGGGCCTCTAAACCAGAAAGGGCACCCTTGTTCTTCCTTGGCTACACTTCGGCCTAATAGAGCGCGAAACCCTAAGCCCTAAGCCCCAAACCCTAAACCTTAAACCTTAAACCCTAAACCCTAAACCCTAAAGAGCCTCCGAAATCCTGAACAAAGTTGCTCCGCCAGGCCGCTGCCATCAGCCGGGGCAGCTTCGCAACTGCCAGGGCGGAGGCTGAGGCCAAAAGAACGCAGGGGTTTAGGGTTTAGGGTTTAGGGTTTAGGGTTTAGGGTTTAGGGTTCAGGGGATTCACATTTAGTTTAGGGTTTTGGCGAATCAAGTTTTGGGTTTAGGGTTCAGAGGTTGAGTTGTGGGTTCCTGCGTAGCTATCGGCAGACGTAGAGATGATCCTCCCCCCCCCCCCCCCCCCCCCAACAAAATGGGCCTTTGCTTTGTGTATGGGCAGGGTCCAAATTTGAACCCTGCAAACCCAAACCCTAAACCCCAACCGAACCCTAAACCTGATTTCAGGGTAATTACGGAGTTTCGAGGTGTGGTCCCGAGCTTCGTGAGAAGCCAGAGAACACAGGCATTAGGGTGTGGGGTTTAGAGTTTAGGGTTTAGGGTTCAGGGTGAGGCGCCGAGCTGGTGTCTTTTGACTTGTGTGGGTGCCCTTACTCTCAGCCAGCATTGTCGGTATTTTCAAGCCCGAAACCCTAAACCCCAAATCCCCTTTTCAGAATCCCCAGCCGCTACACACTACGTGAACCCTAAACCGGCGCGCCCAATCCCCAAGAACCCTCAACCCTGACCCCCGAAACCGCAAACGCCTAAACCCCTAAAGCCCTAAACCCCAGGGTTTAGGGTTTAGGGTTTAGGGTTTAGGGTTTAGGGTTTGGGGTGTAGGGTGTAGGGTAACCCTAAACCCCACCTTCGAGCTTGGTGCAAAGCCTCAGCCCTTGACCCCGAACCTAAACCATAAACCCTCCCTAAGGGCCCATTTTTTGGTATATACTTGGGCCTTAAAGGAGTTCCTATAGAATAGCTGAATAGCTTTAGAAACCCTAAACCCTAAACCCAAGTGCATGGCATACTGCACAGGTACATGGACCCTTAGGGCCACCCATAACTGTGAGCCCCGAAACCACCCCTGGACCCTAAAACAATCCGCAAACCCTACCCCTAAACCCTAAACCCTAAACCCTAAACCCTAAACCCTAAACAACCCTGAGCCCAACACCTTATGAACTCTAGACTCTGAACCCACATCCCTGAGCAACCCTCAACCCTAAACCCTAAACCCTAAACCGTGGGAAACACTGCCAAGTCGGCTGTTATGGGGATCCAGAGGCTTGCAGCTGTTAAAGGGTTCCTTACTCGATTCTCCAAAGCAGGCGCGCGGTTTAGGGTTTAGGGTTTAGGGTTTAGGGTTTAGGGTTTAGGGTTTAGGGTTTAGGGTTTAGGGTTTTAGGGTTTTAGGGTTTTAGGGTTTTAGGGTTTAGGGTTTAGGGTTTAGGGTTTAGGGTTTAGGGTTTAGGGTTTAGGGTTTAGGGTTTAGGGTTTAGGGTTCTAAACTTGAACCCTTAGCCCTCACATCCTGTCTGCAGCTGCTGGCTCGATATGCCGATGGCCCGACACATGAAAGTGCTTCTCTTCTTCCGCAACTCATCTAGGGTTTAGGGTTTAGGGTTTAGGGTTTAGGGTTAGGGAAGTCTAGGGTTTAGGGTTGAGGTTCCGACCCAAGCATCCTACCTGCAGCTTTTGCCGAAGCATGGAACAACCCAAACCCTAAACCCTAAACCCTAAACCCTAAACCCTAAACCCTAAACCCTAAACCAGCACATTGTCGACTTTTGTCAGAACGCTTATGACGCTTATGCTGCTCGAAACCCGAGCTCTAAGACCCAACGCCCACGCGGGCATTAAACCCTCGTAAGGCTTTCCCTAAACCCTAAACCCTAAACCCTAAACCCTAAACCCTAGACGGCCCTAAACCCTAAACCCTAAAACCTAAGGTGCAGGGTTGAGGGGCAAGCTTCCCCTACGCCCAGTGATTAAACAAAATGGACAAAGCGCCAGCGACCCCACCCCCCTTCCCCAACCCTAAGCCCCAAACCATAATTCCAAAACCCTAAACCCTAAACTCGAAAACCCTAAAACCCTAAACCCTATACCCTAAACCCTAAACCCTAAGCCCTAAACCCTAAACCCTAAACCGCTCACATGGCGATGCGCAGATGTGTGCTGCTGCTTCTCCTGCCATTGTCTGGGCAACCCAGGTTTTAGGGTTTAGGGTTTCGGGTTTAGGGTTTGGGGTTGAGGGTTTAGGGTCTAGGGTTTGGGGTTTAGGGTGTAGGGTTTAGGGTCTAGGGCTTGGGGTTTAGGATTTCGGGTTGGGGGATTTGGGGTTTAGGGTTGGGTTTTGGGGTTTAGGGTTTGGGGTTTGCAG